CATAGCACAGACATAGCACAGACATAGCACAGACATAGCACAGACATAGCACAGACATAGCAGCATGTTATGTCTGTGCTAACACTGCTAAGTTAGTTGGCAGATGCCAACTTAGCACAGACATAGGTCATATGTTGTGTCTGTGCTATGTCTATGCTCAGTTGTCATAAGACCTCCTGTTGAGACTGGAACATGGTCCAGACAGGGGTGAAAACTGCATACATATAGTCACAGAGAACTGCCTGGTAAACCGTTTGCACAGAGGGAGAAGAGAGGACAACAAACGAGGGGCTGTGACAGACTGTTGTTCCAGCCGAGTTTCACCAAACTCATTAGGAGGTTGAGCCCTACATATATTGGTGGGGAGCACCACAGATAAGCCCTCAATTCTGACGGTTCTCCTACCACCGCCAGGATACAGGGATATCGCAAGGGTTAAAAAAAATAAAAAAAATAAAAAAATGCTGAACCCTACATAATATAGGGTTAGCTTCCTGACGAGTCGGTGAGACTCTGACAGAACAGTCTGTCACAGCCCGTCGTTTGTTGTCCTCTTCTCCCTCTCGGCCTCCGGTTTACCGCGCAGTTCTGTTTGATGATACATATATATTGTCCCATAACTACGAACTAAAAACTAGTAAAAAGAGTGCACTTTGCGAAACAAACGGCACAAAAAACAGAACAAAGACGAGGGGCACAATGAAACTACTCTCTTTTCTCTTTTTTTTTCAATTCCCCCTTCACCGTGCCTCTCATGCACAAGGCTCGCTGCGTTGATGGAGTTTAGCGCGAGCTGCCCGCATCCCCGTGTGCCATAATGGCCCACTTGTACGCTGTGAGAAAGAGGCAGAGTAAAGGGGGAGGCAATAAACACAGGGAAGAGAGATGACGAGACGACAAACAAAGAACGAAAGGGGAAGTAAGGGAAAGTACGGAGTGTGGAACGAAGATGAAGGCAAAGGAGAGGATAAGAAAAGGCTCAAGAATGAGTCTGACCTTGATGACAGAGAGGACACACATTGTAAAGATGAGGTGGATGAGCACATGGAAGACCTAGGTGAGTATTCTCAGTACAACAATTGCCACGACGGCTGGCATTGAGCATGCCCACCATACACTCCCGACAAATGGAATGTCGATTGCAAGCCAACATAAAGGAGGAACGCTCACCACATAAGACCATGCATTCACTACAGCACCCATGGCCGCAAAATGGACATATAGTGTCTGGATACAGAGGGCGCTTGCAGTCAGGAACGGAGGGACAACCCTCTACACACATGGATGAAGAAACCATGTCATTGTAGTGATTGTGACAGAGACCATGCCGGCTACAGCCGAGTGTAACCGTGTCTGTAGCTGTCCAAAAGAGAAGGTCACAGAGTGTGGGCACACTGTCCTGCTGCAGCACGGGCCCGAATGAATTATCGTCGACAAAAAAGAGATTGGAGGAGCAGTCTCCCCGCTGTATCCCTCCTTCCAACCAGCTGCATTCTAATGGAATGAAGAGGTTCGATAGGTCGCAAGAAAAAGATCTGGGAGGGCTGCTTCGAGGTACTGGCGGTTTAATGAGCGAAGCATGAGTAAATATGCTTTTATGCTGACTTCAATCAATATAACAATAATAATTTAGAAATGAGCTAGAAGTTCTAGAACTGGTTTCAATTTAACACGTCAAGACGAAAAAAGTCCGGGCTCAGTTCAAACCTTGCTGGAGCTGTCCGCTCCACGCCGAGGATTGCCAACTCCCATGTAATGAATATCTGCCACCACAGGTCGCCCTCCTTCGATACGCAGTCCTGCATCTCCAATTGCAAATCGCAAGACTTTCGCGGCGCGTAGATCTTTCTCATTCTGTCCTCCATTGGCAAGTGTAATCCGCACAAAATCGGCGACAGTCGCCGCAAAACCACACAACCAGATTCACAGTATGAAACATAGATCCCTCAGAATTGCCAGATTGACAAGAGATGAAAGCTGGCCACAATCACGGCATCAATGTGCATTTTGGGTGTAGCAAAACGATTACGATTTTTTTTAATTTTTTTTTTTCCAAACATCTTGAACTCTTATTGCACAACGAATGATATTCGGATGAGGCCAAAAACGCGCTCGGGTGGGGTGAAGTGCTCATCTTGGGGCTTCAACTTTCACACCAGACCACTTATTAGCCTATTGGTTAGGTGGCATTGACCACAAGCCAGAGGTTGTGTTCGATTCTCGGATCGGACATGCCAAGGTCCTCACAATTCCACCCTGTAAAGGCCTCGCTGGGAGCCTATAGCAAAAGTTTTCGCCACACCTCAGCAAAAACTTCTAGAAAAGCAAACAGAAAACACAGAATGATAGAAGGAGAATCAGCGTAAAAGTTAAAACAAGTTGAAAAAAAAAAAAAAAAAAAAAAAAAAANTCTCGGATCGGACATGCCAAGGTCCTCACAATTCCACCCTGTAAAGGCCTCGCTGGGAGCCTATAGCAAAAGTTTTCGCCACACCTCAGCAAAAAAATCTAGAAAAGCAAACAGAAAAAACAGAATGATAGAAGGAGAATCAGAATAAAAGTTAAAACAAGTTGAAAAAAAAAAAAAAAAAAAAAAAAAAACCGAAAAAATAATCAGGGAGACTTCTTGTCCTCTGATATCTCCCTTCTATTATTTATTATATTCAGTAATATTCACTTAATTTTTTTTCATGACAGTTCCGAAGATGTAGCTGCATTGGCGTTTCAGAGTCATTTAGACACCTTGTTCTATGAACCAGGATTTGAACTCACAACCTGCTTATTTCGACAGAAAACGGGACCTGTTCTTCTGGGTGGAGAAGAGGTCGCTGTGTTGACAAGCTACAAGCTACAACACACACACACACACACACACACACACACACACACACACACACACACACACACACACACAACCAGTTTTATGTCCGTCAGTCTTTCTTCTGTTGTCTGTCCTCCCCCTTACTTTTTCTAAGTATTTTTTTTTGTGCCCAACCGAGCACCCTTAGGTGTGCCAAACAGTCGGTGGTTCCTCGTTCAGAGTGCCTACTGCACTCTTATGGGGCCCGCTCGGTTCGGGATGTCTGTGTTGCCTGTCGGTGATGACGGATGTTCGCCGGAGTGACTCCCTGGCTCAGTGGGTGGTGGGAACCAACAGTCTGCGGGGAGTAGGTCATGTGCTGCTTTTCTCCGTGTTGGATGTGTGGACGTCCTCGTCTTCGCTCCGCTGCTGCCCTGCTGCCTGCCCCGCTTGCTTCACATGTCGTTCTTTGCTGGTTGATGTGTTCGCTGTGCGGTTTGGTTGTGTTGTTGCCTTGCGCTTCGCTGCTTCGCTGCTTCGCTGCTTCGCTGCTGTGCTGCTCATTCGCTGGCCGTGCCTTCCATGTTTGGCGCTTGTGTGCCCTGTAGGTTGGTTGCCTTGTTGCTGGTGCCTTGTGCTCCGCTCCATGGTTGCCGAGCTGCTGGTCCACTCGCCCTGTTGTCCCCTGAAGTGCTGTTGCCTTGCTTGTGTTGTCTTGTGCTTCACTACACGGTTGACGCGCTGCATGCCCTGCGTGCCATGTCGTTCCTTGCAGTCGTTTTTCGCGTTGTGCAGCTGTGTTGCCTCTACTGTGTTGCCTGGTGGTCCACAGGGTTGCTGCCCGCTGCTATGTTCAGCTTGGGGACAGTCTGCCTTCAACAAGGGTCAAAGGGTTCATGACCCAAACCATCAAATACGGAGATTCCGCAGATTGTCGAGGGTTCAGCCTGCTGATGAGTCGGTGCAACTTCGACGAAAGTATCTATCATGTTTTTTTTTTTTTTTTTTTTCGCTTTGTGTTTTTTTGCTGCTTGTTCTTTTGTCTGCCTCGGTGTCTTATTGCCGGGCTGCTGTTCTTTTCTTGCTGAGTGTGGTTTGCCTGCCCACCTGCCTCCCCCATGCCCTCCAGCCTACGTTCTGTGCTGTTGTTTGGCCGCCCTTGACTTGTTGTTGCTGCCTCTCTTCTGCCTAGTCCTGTTTGTCTGCCACCCGCCTCCCCGTGCCCTCCACCCTTTGTTCTTTGCTGCAGCTTGTCATCCAAGTACCGTGTTGCGCCTTGTCTTAGCCTTGCCATTTTGCTTGCCTTGTTGTACTTGTCTTACCGCTGGTCTGTTTGGTTTTTTGTTGTTCTTTTTTCGTTTCCTGGCTTTTGAAAGCTGGGCATTATAAGCATTCTTTTCTATGGGCATCCCTGGCTGCGGGCTCTTTCCCGGTCCTGTTTATAAACACACTTTCCGACGCAACATGCTGCGACGCGGTCGCAGAAGCCATGCGATACAAATAACACACACACACACACACAAGATACACGAAAGGTAAAACGATTGGGAACAATCTACGGTTCCACAGAAGAGTGGGTTTTACAGAACTGGGACAAAAATTTGACAACAACAGGAATTATGTTTCACAATAGTTACACAAGTACACACACACAAAGAGAGAGAGAGAGAGAGAGAGAGAGAGAGAGAGAGAGAGAGAGAGAGAGAGAGAGAGA